TGGCTGGGCGAGGCAGGCTCTGGATGCTCGGTCTCTGTCCCAGTAGCTGCGCCCAGGCCCCTTCCAGAATGTGCTTGGGACTCAACTGTAAGTGCCCTGGGCCTCAGCATCGTTGTTGGGTCCAGAATTTTCAACTGATCGGCTAGCTAGAAGTAGTCCTTCGGGACGTCCGTTAAAATTGGAACGATACAGAGAAGATTAGCATGGCCCCTGCGCAAGGATGACACGCATAAATCAAGAAATGGTCCAAATTAAAAAAAAAAAAAAAAAAAAAAAAAGAATGTGCCAAAGTGAGGGAGCTCTCTTCCTTTTTGTGCTCCGGCTGGCTGGGCAAGGCAGGCTATGGATGCTCGATCTCTGTCCCAGTAGCTGCGCCCAGGGCCCTTCTAGAATGTGCTTGGGACTCGAACTGTAAGTGCCCCGGGCCTCAGCATCTTTGTTGGGTCCAGAATTTTCAACCGATCGGGCCTACCGGCCGGTTGGAGATTCTGCATGCGGCAACCAACCCACGAGGTCCAGTCTGCTCACATCGGCCTCATGACAAGCCTCGTCGAATTTTCCAGGCGCCTGTTCTCACTTAGAGATGGAGGTGAGAAACGGAAGGGAGGCCTGAAAGGTGAGAAAAGCAAGGAGGCAGCAGGCTGCTATGTCCGAGCGATGCTGTGAGTCTTCGTCAGCCATGCCGCCCATTTGAAGCCGATCGTCATATGCCGTCAGTATCCTGCAGAAAACATAGGTATCCCTTCAGCAGCGGCAAGGACACAGAAAGCAAAGGTGATGGCAAGGGTAAGCACAGTATAGCAAGTGGCGAGCCCGACGTAAAAGGCAAAGAGTGGCAATATGGAGTGAGTGCAGCAGCCTCTGATTGGCAAAACTGTACTGACCCAAGGACAAGGAGCGGGTTCGGGAGCAGCGCCAAGCAGTACACCAGAAGCATAGCAGCTAGCAGAGTGAGGGGAAGGGGGGCGGAGGAGATGGAGGAGAGCAGGGTAGAACTGATGCTTTCATCGCAGTTTGTATCCCTGCAGGCCGCTAGCGAGTCCAGGTCAAGCAGAAAGTCCATTCTGTGCCTAGAAGCCTGCACCTGGTTCAAGTTAGTGTAGCGACAGGGAGCAACAAGGTCCTCCGACAGTCCGGAACATCTGCCCGAGAATAGATGCCGACAGTCCTATAGCCTGTGTACTAAATAGTCATGTCATCCCTACCTATCGGCATTCCCTGGGATTGAATTGAAAAAAGTTTTAAAAACTGTTCATGTTACTTGCTGTCAATTTGAACTTTCTAGTCTTTTCTGTTTATCTAGATGACATGATGGGTCAATTATTTGCTTTATTTGTGTTAACTGTAGCTGCTGCAGAACCTGCTATTGGGCTCGCTATTCTTGTTATTACTTTTTGAATTTGTGGCACTATTGAAATCCACCTTAACCAAAACAAGTGGCTCCTGCGCATTTCGAAGAGGATCTGTGCGCTCTCATCGGAAGTGCCTATCCTCAGGGGCCTTGTCATGATACGACCTTTATGTGGTTTTAATTTATGACTCGTAAAAAAGACAGGAAGAATCGACAAAAGGCACAAACAAATGAAAAAGAAAAAAAAAGGAAAAGGAAAAGGAAAAGAAAGAAAGAAAGAACTCAAAGCATCCCTGTTCGCGTTCTCTCTCCGTGATCGCAGATCTTGCGAAGAGGTCCTGTAACCTTCCAACGCCATAGGTCACGTGCTTCAGAAAAGGAAAAGGTAAAACAAAAAAGAAAATGTAACAAGGAAGCAAACGTATCAACGACAAGGCGCAGTTATTTCTATTGTCCAAGCGCATCAGTTCAAGTCCCTCACCCTACTGCACGATCCCTGTCCCCGGGGGACTGCAGATCCTGCATCCAACCATCCTTTGCAGATTCAAACCCTGGTCTCGTGCCCATGTGGTCTTGGTACTGCTTACTCTTAACTCTGCCCTTTGTGTGTGTGTGTGTGTGTGTGTGTGTGTGTGTGTGTGTGTGTGTGTGTGTGTAAGTTGATTCCTGGAAGTTACAGCATTTCTCTTTGGATGGCGTCCACCAACATACTACAAGTACCTTAAAGCTAGTCAATCTGCTAAACAAGCTTTTCATTCGTACTTATGTTGCTCGTCTGATATTTGAAACTTTGGCACTGTGGTAGGCATGCCGAAGCTTTGCCGCACCTCAAATCAAATTGGGAAGGGCAGTAGGTGTTTCTTTTTCGGAGGTTTTCCTGCCTCATTTTTTCAGAGGATTGGTTGCATGAGAGCATAGCATGGATCTCAGGGAGCCACCGTATTCGCCCGAATAGAACGCCCGGCTAGGCTACCAGTCGGGCCGCCCAGGTCCCGGGTGGCCTGCCCGTGCAAGGACCAGGGAAGGTCCCAGCCAAAAAAAAA